TAAATATGCTAACATAGCTTTCCATCTTAACAAAAGAAAATACATCATAAATAAAATTACTCACAGAAAGTAAAATGCTTTTTTTTTTTACTCACCAAGTCCAGTTCAGAAATATATAATATCTCCTGAAGGCAAGGACAGGTTGAAATTATGCAAAAACAACTCCTTTAGAAGACAAAAATATCTTTAGATAACATTATAGACTCTTTACGTTTTAGTTTCTCTTATTTTTTTCTCTTACACAGCAAAACTTCATCTGCTTCTCGCTTTTCTCCATCAGCCTCGTGCTTTTCTATAACCAGGAAGAAGAAACACCCGGTTGGCTAGAACTAGTCACATGGGTCACGATGCAACGTGACCCTTCAAAATAAGAGTCTTCACTGACAATACACCATTTTTAACATTGACAAAATAGGACTAGATTTTTTAAAGCTTTTTAAACACAAATATTATAAACATAAAATATAGCTTTTCTGACACTTGTTTTCACAGTGTTTTTTGAAAGTTTTTCTTAACTGTGTTGATCTTTTTATTGTTCATCATTTGCCATGTGTTTTTATGGCTACTTTTATAACAACTCATTTTCATTGAGGGCTATTTTGACCAGGGTTACACCTGTTTCCTTTGTTGCTGCCGACAGCCTGCAGGAGTGGGGGGGTCTCGGTGGTATCTGAAAATCCATTTCCTCAAAGGTATTTTTAATCTGAAAAGGGCTGCAGTGAGGAGTAATATTAGGAGCTCAGCAGTCAAGGTTTTCCTGCTGATAGCCTGCAGGAGTCGCAGGGCTGACCAGTTGGTGGGGGAGATGTGCTCTATGATTGGGAAGCTGGGTTCAGAGACACAGCCGGAAGAGCTGATCCCAAAAGGCGGTTCTAAGCCCAACCGGTCATTTTTGCTCCCCTGCCTGACTGCCTCGGGACACTACAGGGTTTCTCAAACATGCATGAATGAGTCAAAGCAAGACTCTGGTCATGTTTTCGATGAGAAGATAACATTATAACATGATAAAAAGCTCAAAAAAGTTGATTTTACATGAAATTGCCCTTTTAAATAACTGCAATGTTACAATACAAGGAGTTGGATGTTGGCTTGATATATTTGTTAATTTTTTTTATATTGAGAAATAAATACTGTAAATTAAAAATATTGAGAGTTTATTAACAATAAACAACAAATACAAAAAGTACAGAAAATCGGTACCGCTGAATACGGATTCCCAGGTAACAAATATTGGTACCGAAATGCCAAATGAGAAAGGAACCCATCCCTATCCATATCTCCTCTTTGTCTTCTTTTTGTCTTTTAACTGGCAGCTGCATTATTAACATCTTTAAACCACCATTCCAACTGTGCCTCTTCTGGAAATACCTATACCTCTAATGACGTCATTCCTAATCTTTGTCATTTTCCAAGTAGAACCTCAACATTTTCAGGTCTGCCTTTTCTGGTTCTGTCCCCTGTCATTTTGTCAATGCTTGTTCATACAACTCTTTTGTATATTTTTCCTTTGATGTTAGCTGCCAAGTTTTTATCACAACTCCTGACACTTCTTATTTCAACCCATCTTGCCTGGACTCTCTTCTGCACCTTTACCGCTCTCCCCATTTTCTAGCTCAGTCAACTCAAAGCTGCTTTTGTACCTGGAAGCAAACTTTTATAAAGATAGTAAACAGCCAAAAACCCCATATAAAAAGACATTTTTCATGGAGGAATCCATCTGTAGAAAAGTGTAGCTTTCACCAGGAGAAATTTATGTACAAATAACAGCAGATCGGATTTTATTTATTTATTTATTGTTTTGGTTTTATTTCAGAGTGTAAACTCCAGCAAGAAGGAAACTCGTGCAGTGATTAGACAATTTTTGCATTTCCAATTAGAATACAAAGATCTGCTGATCTTATCACTTAGATGGCTTTAATGCATTCTGTTATCTTTTATTTCTTTTTTATTGCCTTGTTTCTTTTCGTTATTTGTATCTGCCTTATATTTGCATTTTTTTGCAAGTTGTTATTACGTTGTCACAAGGTTGTCAAAAATATGGGGCTTTTTTATATGCAAGGGTATGATCTTGATATAATGAATCAGATTGAACTTATTTCTAATTAGACTGAATTACTCAGCAAATCATTTAACTGAATTTGAACCACTACAATAGAATTGAGTTATACTTAGATTTACTTGGACTAGATGCTCCATCACTAGATTGGAAATAATTGGAAAAATTTTGGATTAAATATCATAATATATATAATCAGATTAAACTGGATTATATTTGGATAACAGTGATATAACAGGGATATAATGGATTAATAACTAATTTTAGTTGTAATTACTACAATAATAAAAGGACATAAATCCTTAAGAAGAATTTTGGAACTGTAGAGCTCCAAATAATTACATTTGATATGTTTAATTTATATAATTTCGTCATAAATTGACATCAATTAGATCTGTTTTTGTTGTACGGGTTAATACTAATCAAGTATAACAAAGTTAGAAGAATAATTTCCGGATACATTTTTTCACAATAAAACACTAAACGTGACTTTTCCTTTAAGTTTGGAAATTTGTGCTAATATTTTATAAACAAGATAATTATACTTCCGGTTCTGTTATATTCTTTATCCGCTAGCTCGATAGAACTAGGGGTCAAAGCAAGCGAAGCTACAATTAACCAAGGTGCATAGCAGAACAAAATGAGAGCTGTCGTTTGAGTTCATGTTCTTTCATCCTTGAACAGACACAGGGACGGTACACTGGATATGTTATGAACTTGTCATTTTCCCACTGGGAAGACCTTGCGGGCTAAACCAACAACAGCTAATCGGGCCTCCTCGTCGTGGCCCAGCAAGACTCGAGTAAGTTGGAAGCGGACTGCCAAACTTCTGCTTTCTCCAGTGGCTCTCCGCAGGGCCCGGGGCTTCTGTCACCGGCCCTGTGGATGAGGGAGCAAATCAAGATCCAATCATTCCGCAGGTGAGATAAGCTCGATGACATAAACGGCCTAATTTTGTTCATTAGCGGTTTCAATGCTCGTGCAGCAAAGACAAGCTTTGATTAGCTCTGCGGCTAGGACTTAACTTTAGCATTAGCTTGATAACTTCCCTGGCCTGACAGCTAACTGTGGACTCGTTTGACGTTTCTGGCGTAGCTTTCTAAATGGACGATTTAAAATATTTCTGTAGTATATCATCTGGTGTTTTTAAATTAGCTGTAAAGAAAGCAAAAATGTTTATAAAAGTATATCTTGGTTTTGTCTGTAATGCAAAACTGACTAGCAACAGTTGCTAGCTTCCGGGGGCTCAAGTTTAATTAAAGCTTAACAAATGTCTTCTACCTATTTCCTTAATATTAGTAAAACTTAATTCTTGCATTTATATTGTATTTATTAACATACATGTAATAAAAGGTTATCATTAATCCAAAAATAATATTTATCTGTATATAGAGTTTTATTTTGTTTGTAATAAAACGCATTTAATACACATTGATTGTTGGGTTTAGTTTTAGGTTCTGAATGTTATTTTGCAACATAGTTTGTCCCATGTTGTATGATTGTAATGCAACTTCACAAAATCTTAGTTTTCATAGTTATATTTCTATGTCTTTATATGCTTGTGTACAGTTTTAGCTTCCTTCCATACCAGTAAACATGATCAGAAACAACCTTTCAGCTTTTGTTTTAGTGTGAAACTTGATTTAGGAAGAAAACTCATTATACCAGTGGAGAGTAACAGAATGTGTCAAAAAGAAAAATAATTATGCCCCTCTGATTTTTATTTAAGCAAATATCTATAAAAGTCCAGAGTTCTGTGCTATTTGATACAAATCATCATCAGACTGAAGCCTTAGTTAAAAATTCATTTTTGGGGGGGGATTTTTATTTTTCCATAGTGTTTCCAAAACCTGCCCTGTCCTCAGAATGGTCATTTGCATTTCTCCCCAGACTTGTCATGTTCTGCTGAGGGTAAATACAGCTACTTTGAACACTATTGTTGCTGTTGTTAATACCAACAGAAAAACAGGATGCAGAAGCAATTTGGTAAAAACAAATTACTTTGTTACTCATTTATGGGAATCTAGATGCTTGCAAGGGTCTTAATTGCTTATTAAATAACTAATCATTTCATTATGCCCACCACTAACACTGGATGCTTTGTAGGACAGCTCCTAATTTTCCCAGGAGTGGATGACTCCGCAAATTTACCCAAAGGTTAGACTGTGCAATGTTTAGAAAAATAAGCTCTGTCTCAGACCCTTCAAGACTCAGCAGGTTAAAGGTCATGACAGGACTGATAATTTTTGACTAGACAACCTGCCATGTGTTTTTTTTTCCTTAAAGGGGCAATATTATGTGTTTCTCAGGCATATATTTAAATTCTATACCATATTAAAATAACTAGGTCACCTTCAGTTGTTATTAAAAGGCTGTTTATATGTTTAAATAGAAAATAAACTTGACTTCTCATCATATCTGTTTCTAAATGCCTTGAAATTGGCCCGGGTCTCTTTAAGAACCTCCTTCCGCTTTTGTCCCAGCCATTTCAGCACGGGCCGGTTGAGTGTGGCTGTGTCTCAGTTCATGGGCTGGGCCCTCATGAGCATGTAGCCCAGCTGGGCCACGTGGGCCAACGTCTTCCCTGGGCCTGATAGGCTGCTTAAAACAGCCATGAAATGAGACGGTCTACCCTTCGCCTGACGGTAGCTTTACGCAAGTTTACGTGACTACTTGCTACCTCATTACCATAGTGATCAGTTTCATGTCAGACCTAAAATGCATTGGGATGTGTATTTACACGTCTTTTTTACTGGAAGAATAACCTCACAGTTAAAACATTACACGTAAATAAATAAAAAAACATCATTAATTCGGGTTTAGCTCCAGTATCAGTGCTTGTAGTTGCATTTTTTTATTTAACATCATATTGCAGCATAAATTTCAACAGCTAAGTTGCTAAACTTACATTTAAAAAGAAATTCTTCAGTCTGTGGTGAATTTCTGAACTGCGCCGACTTGTAAAAAAAAAAAAAAGAAAACTCTACCGTCTGTTTAGTTTGCTGCCCATGCATTGAATCCTGGGATATCCTCAGACGGTGAGGATACACAGATTTCGAGAGTTTGTCGGCCGCATTCCACAGCTGCATGATGAGGAGCCTTCGAATTTGGACAGTACTCTGCGCCGGGCGGTGACATATGCAGCCGACAAATGTGCACTGATGAGGACCCTGCCTATGATATGAGACACAGCCTGTGTGTGCTTTGTGATGAGGAAGCTGGGCTCAGAGATACAGCCTAGAGGAGGAACTAATCCCAAAGGGCAGTTCTAGGCCCAACCAGTCATTTTTGCTCCCCTGCCTGGCTGCCTCAGGACACCACAGGATTTCTCAAACATGCATGAATGAGTCAAAGTAAGACTCTGGGCATGTTTTTGATGAGAGGATAACATTATAATTGATTTTACATGATATTGCCCCTTTAAACAGAATGTTGGAGCAAAGTTTTGTCATTTTTGTGATTTATACTGTTTTGTGAATGAATCACAGTCTTATGACAGATCTGCTGATCAGTCAGCAACTTGTGCTTTTTAGCTTGTGTCCACATCAAACCTTCATGGTAAGATTTATGCTGTTTTCTTTTTGTTGCAGGAGAAAGGAATCCCCTTGATGGGAGAATCCTCTGTCCTGGCCTCCTGGGTCAATCGCAGTGCCATGATGATGGGTATGTGTAATATGTTGTAACTGTTGGCAATGAGCCAAATGAGTCTTTACCAAACCTACAACTTTAAAGCTTTTTATTTCCCTTCCATGACAAAGGCTCTTTGATTATTTTGTTTTCATCGTTTCTTTTATTATTTGCTTGAGTGTAAGTGGTAAATAATAAGCAGCTGATGGGCTGGACCGATGTAAAATTTGTGTTAGTCTTTGCAATAAAATGCCAAAGTGAAGGCAATGCTCTTTTGTTATTGCAACAAATTTACCATAGATAGTAACTCTAGTAATCTAGTTTAATTGAATGAGATCACTTTAAACAATAAAATATATTCATTAATCCACAGATGAGCAGGAGGCCCTGAATTCCATCATGCAGGACTTGGCCGAACTGCATCGCTCCAGCCGTCCTGCCACGTTCCTGTCGGACCTGGGCAAACCCAAAGTCTCCTCACCCAAGAACCAGGTAACCACTAGGAGTTGGACAAGAAAATGGCAAACACAGGTCCGTGACCACAAAATCTTTTTGCTGAATCTTGCTGAGTTTGACTTTGTTTCCACAGAACGATGTGAGAGTGAAATTTGAGTTCAAAGGAGAGAAGAGGTGAGATTATGTTCTTTCAAAGCAGATCAGCTGCTGCAGCCTCTTTACCTCTCTTCTTCTATGCAGGATCCTGCAGTTTTCTCGACCTGTCAAGCTGGAAGACCTGAAGACAAAAGCTAAAGTGGCTTTTGGTCAAACAATGGACCTTCACTACACCAACAATGAGGTACAAGGCTGGAAGCTTTAGTAACACACAGCCAGTAATAATACTACAATAATAAAAATGTAATATGTACACTGGGCTTGGTTCTTCTTGCAGTTGGTGATTCCTTTAACAACCCAGGATGATCTAGACAAGGCTGTTGAGCTGCTGGATCGCAGTGTTCACATGAAGAGCCTGAAGATCCTTCTGGTGCTTCAGGTCAGTGGCTTTCACAGTTTGTTAATCCAGATTCTTTGGCTTGTCTATCATATATTCCTGCAGAGAAATATTTCACCAAAAGAGTTCAGGTTTTTCTGAGTTTCAGAAAAGAATATTACAAGTGTTAAAGTTCAAAAGAACACTTGAAGGATTTGGGTCGAAGGAGCAAAACTAATTGATCGACCTAACTAATCGAATAGGACCTCAAAATGTTAATTTTTTTTTTACCAGTTAAAAATACAGTTTTCTTGTGGTCCAGACAAACTTGAATTTTTACACTTTGTAATTTTTGCACAGTCAGAATCATAAAAATTGGATTGTATATCAGTGATGGAAGGTCCTGTGGCTTGAGTCCAGATTTACCTCGTTCCAGAGGGATGGCTCATCATGGTACAGGAGGCACCTGAAGTGATGCATCTATCATGCTTAGTGCCTACTGTACAAGCCTGGGTGCATTGCTATGATTAGGGCTTCAATAGTTGGTGTGGTCTAGGTTCAACAATGTCATGTGCACAAAGATTGAAGTCAGCTGACTACCTAAATATACTGAGTGACCAGATTATTCTATCAAAAAATTTATTTTCCCTGATGATACAGGCATGTTCCAAGATGGTAATGGCAAGATTCATCGGACTCTGATTGTGAAAGACAGGCAGGGAGCATGAGGCATAATTTTCTCACATGGATTGGCCACCACAGAGTCCACACCTGAACCCCTCTGAGAATATTTGGGATGTGAAGAAGAAGAATTTGCATAGTGGGCTGAATCTCCTATCATCAGTACAAGATCTTGGTGATTAATTATTGCAACTCTGGACAGATAAAAAGCTGCGACGTTGCATTTGCTTGTGGAAACAATGCCACAGCGAATGCGTGCCATCATCCAAGCTAAAGGCATTCCAACAAAATATTAGTGTGTAACCTTTTTTTGGTCAGGCAGTGCATCTTGCAACATTACAGTGACTCCACAATAAGAATGCAAAACTAGTTTTATCAAAATCTACAAAATTGTTTTTCATCAAAGCTAAATACAAATTTTGGGAGGTTTTGAGTTGTTTAAAGAAAAAAAAATCTTGGAGGAAAACTGCATGAAATTTGTTCTTTTGTTTTTTTATTTTTTGACATCAACAGTCTGTTCTGTTTCTCCAGAACTCTTCCTCTAACATGGACCTTTTACCATCCCATGAGGAGCTGGACAATACAGGATTCAGGGTGACAGGTGAATATTGTATCTTTATCTTTCTTCTCTGAGATACAATTACATTTTTTAAATTATTTTATCCTCAGTTCCTGTCACATACAGTAGATGTGTCTGAGTTTCTCATTTACATGTTAATTTTATTCTCGTCTTACTCAGGTTCTCATTCAACCGACCGCAGCTCTCCTCCTCCAGGATACATTCCAGATGCTCTCCAGCAGGTGGCGAGGAACGGCTCCTTCACCAGCATCAACAGTGAGGGGGAGTTCATTCCTGAGAGCATGGACCAGGTACCAACACAGGAGGGTTGTGTAGTGTTTAAAAACGAGGAAAAGCTAAAAACTGCACCTTTTTAAATTAGTTAATTTTCTTAAAACTGATCCAAATCCTGTGTGTTTTTATGTTGTGAATAGCTTAAAATTTAAAGAAATTTACAGGGAATTAGGCTCTTCTTTAGCACGACAGCTCAGTGGTTGGCACCGATGCCTCACAGCAAGAAGGTCCAGGTTTAGCCCTGGGGTCGTTGTGTGCAGAGTTTGCATGTTCTCCTTGTGTTTGCGTGGGTTTTCTCCAGGTACTCCGGTTTCTCCACAAACCAAAAAACATGTAATATAGGTTGACACCAGGCTCCCTTGAAAACAAGATCTGTGGTCTCAGTGGGATTTACCTGGTTAAGTAAACGATAATTTAGTTAATTTTTTTGATGCTAACATGAGTAAACAAGTTAAACTCAATCGAAATAATCTGAAATCTAATAAAAATTATAATTTTTGATAGTCTGAATTTCTTTGCATTACTTTTGTCCTTCAGATGTTGGACCCACTGTCTATGAGCAGTCCAGAGAACTCTGCGTCAGGGAGTTGTCCTTCTTTAGACAGCCCACTGGACAGGTCAGGACAACGTAATAAAACATACACCTTGTTGTCCATAAAGTATTAAGAGCATTTCATTTTAAAATGTCTGCATTCCATGACAATATTCTCACAAGTTTGAAATACGTCTTCCATGTTTTTTTTTCTTCTGGATTTCTTTAGTGACTATCCTAAATCAAGGATGCCCAGAGCACAGAGTTACCCTGACAACCATCAAGACTTTCCAGGTAAATTTAAAGGCTTTTTTTATTTTTATTTTTTTGTACAGTCTTTCTTGGAAGTCTTTGTATGTTTGACCTTTACCCTCTTTTGCACAGTGCCCTGACTTGGTTTTGTATAAATAAACTCAATTGAACTGTTTTGAATTTCTGCTGCTTGGATGGAAAGAAAGCACATGTGCATGTGGTTAATTGCAACTTTTGTATAAGACACATTTTTTCAGACAATCTGTACAAATCAGAACTTAATGAAACTATGTGTAATCATCATTGTAACTAGTGCTGGGTGGTATACTGATTCATACCGAATACCGTTTTTTTATTTTTGTTATGTTTTGAATTTTCAGAATACCGACATACCGGTTTAAATAGCCTGAACACGTACAGAACTTTTCGTCACAGCTGCCAGTGAACTGTTTTTTCCGGGGGGACATTTTTCCTCCCTGCACCGCTATGTGTGTTAGCATGCTAATGTTATTGTTGAGCAGTTTGTTGCAGCGACGGGTGGCGATTCCGCTGCTTATGTTGACTGACATTAAAAAATGTCCCGATTTCACCGTTGCTGAATGTAGTAAACACCTCTTCAGTGACGTGCACAGTTAGATTAAACAAGCAAATTTAATATGGAGACATGGAGACGCATGGAAACTTTAGCGTGGTTCTGTTGTTGAGGATGATCAGTGGGTGTTGTACAGTTACCCTGAAGCTAGAGTGTTTTTGCAAGGTAACAGTTTAGTTGCAATAAAGACAGCAACTTATGTTGACAGTACACATGAATATTCAAAGTTTGTAAGGCTTTTATTATGAAATGCCACATCAGATGTTGCCCAAAGTTGCTGAGGATGATCAGTGGGTGTTGTACAGTTACCCTGAAGTGAGAATGTTTTTCGGAAACTAACAGTTTAGTTGCAATAAAGACAGCAACTTAAGATTTGTCAAATATAATTTTTAATATAAATTTGTTTTTACGGGGTTACAAAATCTCAGCTTTTATTTTGAAATTAACTCACAAGTGTTACTACCATAATACTTGTTAGCGCACAACACAGTCTTCGTTGGAGTGCAGGCTGGCTGTGCAGGGAAACAGCGACACAGACAGAGTAAAAGAGAAAAGTTAGTTTGTACATTTTATTATCAGCTGACCTGTGATGAAAAGAAAAACACCGTGATATACCGTGAAACTGGTGTAAATGTTGAAAATACTGTGATATAAAATTTGGGTCATACTGCCCAGCACTAATTGTAACCTTTCTGACAATGCCAAAAAAAATCACTTCAGTTTGATTTCCTATACATTAATTTGTTGTTCTACAGAATATGACAACCCTGTGTTTGAGAAGTCGGGAAAAGGAGGAACGTATCCTCGCAGATACGGCATTCCCTTTGGCCTTCAGGATTACAGCGATGGAAGGAAGACATTTCCTCGGGCTCGACGAACGCAGGTTCACAGTTTCCGCTCTCCAGTCAGTTTTAGTCCGACAGAGCAGTCTCCCAGCACCAGCAGCGGCAGCAGCGTCTTCACTCCCGACTTGGAGGAGGCCCCCGGGCCTGCCAGGAGGCGCCGAGGCAGCGACATAGAACCAAACCCCAACCCACCTACCGCACCAACCCTCTCCGTCATGGACATCAGCCCCCCCAGCCGCTGTGAGTCCCCTTCTAGCATTTGTCTGGGTGGGTAAAAAAGCGGGTAAACATTGATTTTAGTCTGTAATCTCCTTACTTTTAGCTCCACGGGCTCCAACTAACTGGCGGCTGGGGAAGCTTTTGGGTCAGGGGGCATTCGGGCGGGTTTTCCTGTGTTACGATGCAGATACTGGACGGGAACTGGCAGTCAAACAGGTCCAATTTGACCCAGAGAGTCCAGAGACCAGCAAGGTTTGTGTCCGCTCTGCACTGGAGGAATAATTGTCTCTGATAAAAGAAATGTTCAGATATTTTACGTTTTTTAAAACCATTCAGGAGGTGAGTGCATTGGAGTGTGAAATACAGCTCCTGAAGAACTTGTGCCATGAGCGGATCGTTCAGTACTACGGCTGTCTACGAGACACGATGGAGCGAACGCTTTCAATCTTCATGGAGTACATGCCTGGAGTCAGTGCTCAGTCTAACTGTTTTTATTCACATAATTATATAT